TTTATCATTCTGATGGCGGATTGTAATCCAGAATGGATTATGTGTTTATGAAACACATGTGAATGAAATTAAATCATATTCCAGTTTTAAATGTGCTTCTGATTACAGATAGCCTGGGATTACACAAGATTTGTATTTTAAAGACAACCAGTTCGAAGGGAGCATAATTTGCTTTTTGGGTTAAAATAATTTCTTAATAGGAAATTCGAATGGTATGACAATTAGAGATTAGACTGTACAGAAATTGAAATCTACACTCTAAAACACACTATAGGCAATGCTGATGTTGTTAACATTAATATTGCACGGTTTGATGTAATATGAGCTAAGTGATCGTTAGATTTTGACTGCCACACATACTCCTCAAAACATTAGATTCATCTGCGCTGGAGCCGTGCCGGTGCACAACCCACACAAGCTAGATAATTCCGCAAACAGCAGCAATTGCAGGTTTTTAAACAGAGATGGCGACAAAGAGGCAAAACTTACGGACTGCAGCTTTAAAGGTGCAGTAGGAGATCTAGGAAAATGCTAACTTTAGCCTGATAGCACTGAAAGCGAACGTCCCACCCTCCCTGCAATCGCTGTCCAAAGCCACGCCCCCTGAACGCACATACGCTCACAGACCAGAATACCAGAGACAACATTACTACAATAGGCTACAGCGGTTCCCAATTCCATTTCTCACACCCCCCTGTGTAGGGAGCATGTCAATCGGAACAGTTCATGCATGTAGCTCACTTCTAACGAGCTGGTTATCTGAATTGGGTGTGTTAACTAAGCCAGTCATGCAAAATATGCAGAGCGGGGAGGCGCGAGGACTGTAAGTGGGAACCGCGTTAGGTTACATCATGCGTCATTCACCGGTGAGAAAACTTTATTATACAGTTAGTAAAAGTACTACAATACCAGGAAGGAAGATCGGGTTGTTGATGTTTGTCTGCCATTCTCGCTCTGTCTGCACAGCGTGCGTGAACGCACTGATGACGTATCCTGTCTGCGCGAACCGGGTGCACAGAGGTATGCTAATACATACCTTGACAGGAAGGTAGGAAAGCCAATTAAAACGCTTGGACCGAGCGTTTTGATTGGACGAACATTTCTTGGTCCTACGCCTTCCACAGAATGTATAAATACAGATAAATACATTCAGACCTCTTAACTTAATGATTGCTATTGGGATGTGAAGAGACATTCAACCAGCATAACAAAAAATGTTTCTGAAGACAATCACCTATTGCACCTTTAAATATCCAATATCAATACTGATACTGTTTTTATGCTATTTCTCCAGATGCTTCATTTTGTTGTCTCAGAGTTGACTAAGTGGCTTGTGTTTACTTCAATATCTAGAACAGATTTTAAACAAGTTTTGGGTACTAAATTATTGCCTGTAAAACTATTTCATCTACTTAGCATTCCTCCCCTAAAGCATCTGACTGGAATTAACAGCAAAACCTTTAGAGTCTACATTGGATTTTATATCAATTAGACATAGTTACTTAACCCTGGCTGTATCATCATGTTATGTGATTGTTTGATTCAGTCTGCTGTGTGTCTACCTTGCTCTCTCTGCTGGTCTCTCTGCTCCATGGACACCAGAGCAGAGAAGTGGGCCTGGTCGTAGGCCAGCACCAGCGGGGAACAGTGACAGCGGTTTGGAGGCACCTCCAATGGCAGGTACAGCCCTCCAAAGGGAATGGGTGCAAAAGCTGCAAGATAAGAACAACAAATGGTTCATTTGTCTGTATGACACTTAAATTAATCTATTATAAAAAGTTAAAGACTAAATTCATACTAAAATGTTTCATTGACATTGGTGGAACTGAATCTTAAAGGAATAATTCATCAAAAAATTCAGATTAAAAAAACAACAACATATGGCTAATCTTCCCCTCAAGTGGATCATCTTTGGGTCAGTCCGAATTTGTGAATGAATCATTTAGAATCTTGAATTGATTCATTTAAAAAAGGTTTGACTCAAAAGAATAGTTTGTTAATGAAACTACTTCTCTCATGAGCATTACAAGGGGAACTAGGGCAGAAGTCAGTATTTTCCAGTTTCCAGACAACAGTTTCTCACATAAAACTTTCATATGGATTCAGAAGACTGGCAATATATTTGGTCAACTCAAATGTTCTGCTTTGTGTCAGTTTTGAAGTCTGCACGCTGAAGTTTGTAACAAAGTCATGGTTTGGAATCACATGAGGGTGAGTAAATGACAGAATTTTAATTTGTAATCCTTTAAAAGCATTCAAGCATGTAATTACAGTCACACAAAGTTGAGTTATCAGGTCTTTAATAACTCTTGATAACAGCTTTAATTGGTTTTCAACTAGAAAATAAAGTTGTTTGCCATTGAAAAAGGGTTTAAATAGAAAACACTATGAAGCCCTCTAGTGGTATAAATAAAAAAATGCACATTTTCTAGCTGGTAAAGCAAATGTGGTTGAGTTGTTGGATTGTGAGTCTTACCTTCCCCTCCAGAGTCTCTGAGCATAGTGTCAGCGATCACCACGATAGGTCTTCTCAGAACATGGGCCAGTACAAACACATGGAACTCCTCCAAACTCTCGTAAACCGGGTCTTCTGAGTTATCCACCCTTTAGGAGACACACATACACTTACAGTGACATAGTTGACAAACAATATGATTCTTTGTTTATTGGTGCAATTAAGAAAATTAAACCAAGGTACAGCAGCTTCCAATTTACCATATGTTATGTCTAAAGATTGACAACTAATTCAAGTGAGCTTTAGACTTGACCTGGCTGGCTATATAAAACTGCATAAGAATTTGAAGGAGCAATTTTGGATAATCATATTTTCTAAATCCATTATTATAATGAACTACACCTGCATTCAGAATGGACACACTTCTCTAGCTTACTGCATATGCCTACTACTTTTTAAAAATACCATGCAAAGCATGCTTAGGATGTGAAAAATGCGTTTTTGAAAAAACAAAAAATAATAGAAATGGAATTGTATGTTTTAAAAAAAATGAACAGTTACTCATTTCAAGCACTTTATCAGTACTAACCACCAAACCACACACACTCATACTGTGGGTGGCGAAACATCTATGCTGCCATCAGAAAACAAGTAATAACATAACATAACATAACAATATAACACCTCATACCGCATATTCAGTAACATAACAACATAACATATTGTACCTAATTATGTCATGAAAACATTTCAGAAGTATCAAATTTAAATATATCACCTACAGTATTGATGCAGGAGTTAAAGGGATAGTTCACCAAAAAAATTTAATTCTGTCATAAATTACTCACCCTCATTTTGTTCCAAACCAGTAAGACCTTCGTTCATCTTTGGAACACAAATTAAGATATTTTTGATGAAATCCGAGTGCTTTCCGACCAGACAGCAACACAACTACCACGTACAAGGCCCAGAAAGGTAGTAAGGACATCATTAAAATAGTCCTAACATCAGTGGTTCAACTGTAATTTTATGAAGCTATGAGAATACTTTTTGTGCGCAAAGAAAACAAAAATAAATGTATTCAACAATTTCTTCTCTTTCGTGTCAGTGTTCGGCACACGTTCATGACAGTACCACGACGAAGAGAAGAAATTGTTGAATAAAGTTTTTTTGTTTTCTTTGCATACAAAATGGACTATTTTAATGATGTCCTTGCTACCTTTCTGGACCTTGAACTTGTCAGTTGCATTGCTGTCTATGCAGGATCAGAAAGCTCTCGGATTTCATCAAAAATATCTTAATTTGTGTTCCGAAGATGAACAAAGGTCTTAGGGGTTTGGAACGACATGAAGGTGAGCAATTAATGACAGAATTTTCATTTTTGGGTGAACTATCCCTTTAAAATGAAAGCTTCTGACATATTTGTCATATTGTAAGAGTCCAGCATAATAAAAACCTTCCTTTTTCCATTGCGGCAATGCAGCCAAACACATACAAAGCTTTTTAAAAGGCAAACATCTCCAACTAATATCCTTCATGCACAGTACCATCACTAACTGAATTATTCTTCATCACGCAGAGTGATTTATTAATGCATCCCTTAAGTTAGGCTGTCTTTTGAAACTGTTCTAGACTTTTAAAATACTGCATCAGCCTTACTAAACATTGTAACGTAACACTTATTACCTGAATAAACTGTCATTTCAATGTTTTTTTTGTTTTTTTTTACACAAGTCAAAAAAGGAACCAGTTCATATTTAGCTAACTATTGTGAGAGTAGACAGAACTGTGATCGCTCTGAGAAAAACAGGAAGCTATATATTTTCCAATCCAGAAGACTCTGAGGCATGACCAGAGACCTGGCGGTTGATGCTTTCACTTCCAGTCAGCGTGACTTCAGAAGGCAGATTAAAGGTAAGGGGTAAGTTTCCTCCTGAAGCAAGATTTGGTCGAAACTCTTTCGACCGCAGCGCTTCAGTTAACACTACTGAGAGGAGAAACCAAACCAAACTGCTGTCTGCCAGCGCAGAGTTTCCACTACGCTGATCTGTGACCTGAGATCAACTGTACTGGTTGACACGCTCAGTTAAAGGTGAAATAACTTCTGCAGCACTAGCGTCACCAAATGGAACTGCAAAACTATGGACTGTTTTCAAACAGGTTACCCAAACACTCCTCCTGTCTGCCATTGGTCGAACAAAAACTCCAAATGCATGCTATAGGTTGAACCAGTGTTGCTATGCTGGGCTGGTCAGAATACTCACTATTAAAAGTTACACTTTTGAGAAGAATCGGCCTACAAGTGGTTTACTTATAGTTGTCTCTGCATGTGAAACTGAGAAAGGAAAAAATATTTTAACAATGAAAAGTACACACTTCATATTTAAGGTGAGTGCTTCCAGTTCCGTGGTTATGGATTTGAAGGACAAATTTCAGAAAAATCTGAATCATTTTCTAAATCCACTACGATTCTTTCAGAACTATGGGTATTCATGAAGAAATACTTGCGTACTGTTTCTGTATACTACATTACACAGTATATACTGGATGCTACTTTTAAAATAAAAACAGTATGTGTAACAGTAATAAGCAATGATAAATGCTTCAAACATTAGCAAGCTACTTTGTTATTATCTTGGAAATTGAATGGTTCACCCATAACTTTTCTCACTTTCATGCCGTTCCAAACCTGTATGACTTTATTTCTTCTATAGAACAAAAAAGAAGATATTTTGAAGAATGTTGAGGTCCAAAAAACACTGGACCACTGCTGTTATCATTGACTAAAACTAATTATGTTTGTTAATGGAAATAAAATAAAATTAAATTAAAAATAAAATGCAAATACTGGATTAAAAAAAACTTCAACTAAATGAAAATTAGAAATGTTGCCTCAGCAACTAACTGGAATAAGTTGAAGTACTAAAATTAGTAAGTGAAACAAAACAAACACTAGTAAAAATGACATATAAAAATATAAAAAATGAAACATGAGTTAAATAAAAATTAAAACTAAAATATAAAGATAAAATCTAATTCAAAATGTTAATAAAAACTATAATAGTACATAAATAATATTAAAGTAACACTGCATTGGACCCTATTGACTTCACACAGGCTTGGAAAGACGAGGCTCAGTAAATGATAATAGAATTAGGATTTTTGGTGAACTATATCTTCAATAATTTTGAATTTTAAACAATACATATTTAAAATAATTTCACCCCAAATTCCCATTTGTGTTAAAAAGAAAAATTATAATAATAATTAAAAAAATATAATAAACGATTTTTAAAGCCTTTTTAAAGATGATTAAGAAATTAAGGCTGATATTACCTTTGGTTCATTTCTCCCACTAGAAATGGGAGGCACATTGCATTGTGGGACACAGTGTTCCACACATTTAGAAAATGTACATACTGTGCACAGTATACATACTGCAGAAAGAGTAGCAGTATGTAAGTATGCTATTCTGAATGAAGCTAAAAAATAACGTAACACTCAAACCAGTGCCACCAGGTGGCAGTGTCGCACATTTAAATGAACACAGAGATTTTTCAACCACAAAATAAGCTCAACTTTACTGCATTCTTCTCCATGCATTATAACATTCCCCTATATAGCAAAAGAAGGTTCTTGATGGGTTCTTTGTGTTTTGTCTAATGGCATAGTGTCCATCTAAAGGTCACGAGTTAAGTGAGGTTACTGGATGGAGTTAATCTCTAGTGGCCTCTAATGGCAGTCTGAGTGCATTGTGAGCGGGTCTGTGGGAACCGTAGCTGGCGTATTGGGACAGTCCATAGTTTGTCATTAGTTTGACTGCATTATATCCAAACTTTGAACTTTAAAGTGGAAATTATTACACATCACCTATGACATACTGGTTAATGCCTTCAAAAATCTATACATATACATAGTAACGTATGTATGAATATGTTATGATGGGTAAACGTGTGTAGGAGGCTGATCTGAAGTATTTATTTTTTATTCTGTAGCATTTTATGTAAATTGTACTATTGTTGTAAACGGTTACACAATTTGCATAAGAGGAAGTGTTTGCAGTTAAACATCTATACAGTAGGTGGGAATGGAAAGACAACCGAATGTGACATAACAAGATGTAACTGTCTATATATGTGAGGGTGTGTGGGTGAGCATTACCCTCCGCTGGAGTTGCCGCTCTTGCTAAAGTGTGTGCGTGGCTCACTGGAGGCCAGCTTCAGCAATTCGTTCCACTCTCTCTCCCATTCCTCCTCGGTGTACACCAGCCCCGACTACAGAGAGAATATATCGCTGATTTACAACATTTCCCACAACATTACTTGTAACATTTTCACTTGATATTCCACTGGAGATGTCCCATTTTATATCCATCACACCCATCAAAACCGCCTGTGCTCATATTATAAATTAATACTTCATGTTTATTAAAAACCAATTACTCAAGAAATACAAAGAATTAAATATATAATAATATAGTATTAATAATTAATTTATATAGAATGTTTTTAAATGTTATTTTTATATAAAATTAAATATTTTATATTTTAATAATAATAAACATTTTATAATTTAAAAATATAAATAAATAAATGTAATTTAATACAAATTTATAATTAAATAATTTTACATTTAATAATAAATGATGAAATTTTTAATTAATACTCTTTTTTACTATTTTTTGTAGGTATATTATGCATATTTTATAGACATATTTGTATTTATACTGTGTTGTAGAAAGCCTAGATAGATAGATTACTGCCATGTCCTAGAAGAAAAATGGTTATTTGAAAAATATAGACAATTTATATTAATTGAATTGTATTATTAATATTTGCATTATTTTTATAATCTTAATTAAATTGTGTACATATTTATTAGAATTTTTTTTTATTAGTATCATTTTTTAGTCATTTTCTGTATTTATATTATGCATAATATTTGGAAAAATGTAATAAATTATTTACAAAATTATTGGAATTTTTAAATATAATTTCCTATTTTACATAGGTTCTATTGGTAACACCAGACAAAAAAACTAAATGGCTAAATTATTAAATGGAATACAGCTATACAATGTTTTCTGTCAGTGGTGACAATACTGACTGAGCTAAAAATCAGTTTGACAACATTCTATAGTCTCATTGCTAAATTTGTCATTTGGCAGTTCGCATAATTTTTGTATTTGTAGGCACTGACACACATACAGCAAGTTAAAACATTTTGTTAGTAAATGGAGGAGGAGGATGCACAAACGTAAGCGAAAACCTCTGAACGTATTTAACAAATTCATTTTTTTTTCCTCTGCACATGCACTTTTGTTCAGTTTTATAGTCTGTTTTATTTCAATGGCATCAATATGCACAAGTTCTATAGGAAACGCACCCACTCGTTCGCTCTCCTTCACCTCTCACACAAACATTTCCACTCCATCCACACCCACTCGTTTCTTACAGCTTTAATCACTGATACTCGTTCAGCAGAAGCTGATTTAAGAGCTCCGGGCCTTCATGACAATGAAAACAGTGCAGCTAATAAAGAATTCAAGGATTTGCTATCGATCACACTGCTGATTTCCTGTCCTCCGGTATGCCGTTACAGCAATAAGCTCTTACGCTAAAAGCTGTGCAGGAAATACACAAGCTAATCTGCCGAAGTGTTTATGGGGAGAACCATTATGAACTGCAGGCTAATGTTTACGCTTTACAACTACACACTTGGCAGACAGATTCTTACCAAACTACTTTACAAACTAGGAAGTGCATATATTGTGCTTGTAACATCTAAGTAGGCACCAAAAGAAACAAATCAAGGACTAAAAAGAAACATGCCTGTGTAAACACAAACCAAACTACAACTAACACCATATTAGCATAGCATGCACTGCTGTGTAGTTTATCTATACAAAAAAAGTGGTAAGGATAGTTTTAATATGTAAATAAATTATATGTAAATAAATTAAAACAGTATGTTTGAGAACTTGTCTAACACATGCTAACATATTAGCAAAACTTAGTAGGCTAGTTACAAAATTGAAAATTGCAATAAATAAAATAGATCAAACCTTTTTAGTATTTGATTTGTTTCCTTAATTGCGTTAAAGTAGGCAGCTAAGGAAACAAATTCAGGACTAAAAAGAAACATGCATAAACGCAAACCAAAACTACCATAAACACAATATTAGCATAATGTGCATTGCTGATATTTACTATTTAGTACAGTGAGGAAATCGATAGTTTATGAAAAAAAAGTTAAAGGTACTTAGTGGTAGTATGTTTTGAAGATTAAATATATCAAAATGATATTTTTGGTATGTTTGAGGAATTGTGTAACAGATGCTAACATGCTAAACAGATGCTAAAACTTAATAGGCTAATTACAAAATGGCGAAAAATTTGTTCAAGGAAGTTGATTACGTTTCTACTCTTACATCTGTCGATCATCATAACAGAAACGTCTCGGTTAAGTATGTAACCTTCATTCCCTGAAGGAGGGAACGGAGACGTCACGTCAGTAACCGACGAACTGGGATCTCGCTTCGAGAGACCAATCTACGTTGAGTGTAAACTAAATGAGCCAATGCACATTGGCATGCGATAATTGCATCCAGCTGCTGCTCGTCACGGCACGAGAATAAGTAGGCAGCAGGTGCAACGCATATTCAGGTTGTCGCTGAGGAGCCAAGCCAGTGACCCGGCGCCCGCGTGGTACAGCGGCCGTGGCAACGGGACGTGACGTCTCCGTTCACTCCTTCAGGGAACGAGGGTTACATACGTAACCGAGACGTTCCCTTTCAGTCGGTCACTCCGAGTCACGTCGGTGACCGACGAACTGGGATCCCTACCAAAGCGCCATGGATGCTGCCCCTTCCAGCGCCCCTAGTAAGCCACCTGGTCCCCCCCGCGGGGCGGAAGATAGGACAGGGATTACGTGGAGAGAGTCTATTACTGTTGTTCCACTAGACCCATACAGTAAGACCTGTGGAGGGGAACCGTACCATGGAAGAATACACACATGGGATCACTGTGGGGATCACAACATATGAACACCTAGCCTAGCACAGGGGTCAACCAACAGGCGTACTTACAAGTGATAGGCCTAGCGCCGGGTGTCCGCCCGTCTGGCTGCTGAGGGTGATGGAGTAAATCAACAGGGTTCACCTTGCGGGGAACTGAACTGAAGAGCAGAATAAGCACACATGTCCGGTCCGTAGCGGGGAAGGCGCAGCAAGCGAGACACCGACAGCCTCTCTGGTTCACTGGCTACTTGAGAGTTCACAGTACACGAGAGGACACTGGCTCTACACGAAGGCTATAAAACCTAGCAAACGTGTTCGGTGTCGCCCAGCCCACAGCTCTACAAATAACTGTCAGCAAGGCTCCATGCACCAATGCCCAAGAAGAAGCAACACTCCTCGTCGAGTGTGCTCTCAACCAGAGCGGGCACAGCATGCTCTGGGTTTGATATGCCAAGACGATGGCATCCATTATCCAGTGGGCCAACCTTTCCCTTCTGCTGGCCTCCGTAACAGACGAAGAGCTGCTCTGAGGTCCTAAAGTTCTGCGTATGGTCCACGTATAGGCGTAAAGCGCGAACCGGACAGAGCAAAGCTAGGGCTGGGTCTGCCTCCTGTGAGGGCAGCACTTGCAGGTTCACCACCTGATCCCTGAAAGGTGTGGTGGGAACCTTGGGCACATATCCGGGCCGGGGTCTCAGGATAACGTGAGAGTTAGCCAACCCGAATTCCAGGCACGATTCATTGACCGAAAATGCATGCAAGTCCCCTAATCTCTTCATGGAAGCCAGCGAAGTTAAGTGCACTGTCTTTATCGACAGAGTTCTCAGCTCTGCAGACTGCAACGGCTCAAAGGGAGCCCTCTGCAATGCCCTAAGCACCAGAGGGAGATCCCAAGAGGCTACTGGGTTAGGGCGAGGAGGATTTAGTCTCCTCGCACCCCCTCAGGAACCTGATGATCAGATCATGCTTTCCCAAAGACTCACCGTCTACAGGATCGTGATGTGCGGCAATTGCGGCAACATACACTTTTAGGATGGAGGGAGACAGCCTTTGCTCCAACCCCTCCTGGAGGAAAGAAAGCACTGCTCTGATCGAGCATCCCTGGGGGTCTTCCCGGTGAGAAGAGCACCATTCAACGAACAGGTTCCACTTCAAGGTATAGGCACGCCTCGTAGAGGGTGCTCTTGCTGAAGTGATGGTGTCTACCACCACCTGGGGTAGATCACCTAGGACCTAGTGAAAAAATTGGCACGTGTGGGCCGCCCTAAGATACCAATAATCTAACCTCTACAGTTCGGGACACGATGGCTGTTTCCAATCGAGCCCGACCGCCTCGGCAGCCCGGGAAAGCATAGCCGTCAATTCTGGGTCAGGCTCGGGCAATACTACTCTCCCCGAAGGGGGCAACGCAGCCGAGTCCTCATCCCCAGACTCCAACTCACCCTCCGATGCCGCAATCAACATCTGGTCATCCAGAGGAGCACCGAATGAAACGGCCGGCCCCCCATGAGAAGGGTCGGCACGTTTACCTGGAAGCTCCACAGCTTGCGGTGTGCTAGAGGAGTGGGGGGCCCACGGAGATTTACTCGGCAGGTTTGCCCCCACTGTAATCCTCAGGTTACCCTGCCTATTCACCGAAGTAGCCCTCTACTGCGGAACAGAAGATCAACTAGATCGGGGCATAGGTAAGGGGACTCCACCCCTCTCGAGGTATCGGAGTCTCAACCGCAACACCGTGATGGTCATGCCGCCACAGTGACAGCATGACTCATCCACGAAGGCTGCTTCAGCGTGCTCAATGCCCAAACACGTGATGCAAAGATCGTGACTGTTATCCTACGCCAGGTAACAACCGCACCCAGAAACGCACGGGTGAAACGGCATCTTTAGAGAAGCGCACCGTCGTCTTTACAAAGACGCACCCATGAATGCTCTTTAAGGGAAATTTGCTCTTTAGTGCTGAAGCGCACAGGGGAACCACCACTGACGCGCCGTCACACCAACACTCCGAGAAGCTCCTTCCTGAGCACTCGTAGCTCGTCAGTCTCTCACGAAGATGACAAGTAGAGCAGAACAGTCAACAACCGCTCGGTTCCGAAGCGAAAAGTTGAATATGCATTGCACCTGCTGCCTACTTCTGCTCGTGCCGTGACGAGCAGCAGCTGGGTGCAATTATCACATGCCAATGTGCATTGGCTCGTTTAGTTTACACTCAAAGTCGATTGGTCTCTCGAAGCGAGATCCCAGTTCGTCGGTCACCGACGTGACTCGGAGTGACCGACTGAAAGGGAACAGAAGTGATTTAGAACAGAAGGAAAATGATAACGGTGAACATTAACACTAATTCATTTCCAGTTTAATTCAATTACAGTTTTTCATGATTGCATGTGACGTGGATTTTTATACGTTTATAAGTGTACGTTGGGCTATACATAGAGTGTGTGTGTCAAATTTAATCTTCAGCATAGTATAGGCTACGCATACTGTACATGCGCAGCCAGATTTTTCTTGCACATGCAACTTGAATTTTTTTGTGCCATTACCATAGTTTGTCCACAAAGTGGCGACACTGGCCCCTTGTTTCACAGTAAAAAATGAAACGAATGAGACGAAACAACAACTGGAGACGCAACAATAATAGATGCACACGTTAAAGGTGGGGTAAGCGATTTCTGGTAGCCAATGTTGACATACTGGATGCGGCATGACACGACAAATCCCCGACAGAAAACTGCTGCTGCGTTTTATTTATGACATATTGACAAATTTCAAATGATTTTCAACGGTCGCTTTGGCGCGTCCAGTGTACTAGACAGACTTTAGCTGTTGTGGCGCAGATACGGTGTTACTCACCTATCGAGAACAAACAAAGCAACCTCGGCGTCAATCTGCAATCGCAGGCCTTCCGCGCGAGTTCTCTCCAGCGCTGGAAAGCTGATCCGATATTTACACGGGTCCTACTTCTTGCCTTAAGCCTTCTTTTGTTCCGCAGACGTTTTCCTCTTTTGTTTTTTTATCCGCCATCTCTATCTTTCTGTCGCTCGGCTCGGCTAATGTCCGTCCTGTGTACTGAACGCTCTCTCCTCCACATCATGAGTAGACACGCCCCTTACTGCTGATTGGCTACAAGTTTGTTTTGCTCCTCGGCCCGAATTAGTTTTCTAAAGCGTTTTTGAAAAATCGCTTACCCCACCTTTAATGAGTACTTGTGTGAGTGGATTTAGAAATACATATGGAAGCTTGTTTCCGCCACTGAATAAAAAATAAAAAAGGTAATTTACCTCGCAATTCTGACTTTTTTCTCACAATTGCATATATTTCTCAGTATTGCACGATATAAATTCGGAATTCTGACTTTCTTTCTCAGAATTATGAGATATATCTGGACCAATAGCCTTGTGGTTAATTTGCTTAATTAACCTTGTGGTTAATTAGATATATAGCGTAACTGTGCTCGCAGCGACCCAAGCTCGATTCCCGTCTCAAGGTCCTTTCTGACCCCATTCCCCTATCTCCACCCAATGTTTTCCTGTCTGCTCTCTACTGTCCTATCCAATAAAGGCATAAAAGCCGATAAATATAACTTAAAAAATAGAAAAGAATTGTAAGAAGAGTTACTTAAGTATATTTTAGGTGTTAGTTGCCAACCTCTTTGTTCTGTTGAGTCTGTTGCCACCTCCACCTCCTCTTCAGAGCTTCTCTCTCTGCTCCGCTCTTCATCATGGCATACAGACTCTTCCGCAGCACCAGATCCCGGTCATGGAAGCCCCACATTCCTGGAAACACAGATAGCCAGACACACGACACATACAACGGTGAAGTGTTTCTATTTAAAGGAACTGAATGGTTCTCTTTTTTCCAGGTGTTCATGCAATACATGTGACAAGTGTGCATGAGCGTGAATTCTGAAAGTCTCACCTAAAGAAGCTGCATGCAGAAGACAGTTGCCATCTCCTGTTGTCGCTAACGGTAGTAGCTTCTTACAGCTGGTGCACATGGTGGACCACCAATTTAAACGACCTACAGAACGGTTTAAACACAATAATTTAAGTCAAACATGGACTAATACACATCACCCAACATCCCATCATGCTCTCATATCTAAAATCAACCTTTAAAAGTTTCTAGTCATACAGCCAATTATCTTTATTTAATCGTCACAGGCACTGTTTTGTGGTTTGTGATTGTCCTAGTGTTGGTCGATTGTGAGTTTTCTGTCCATTTTGGGTCCTGAATCCAAAATACATATTTGTTTAGCTTAGTTATAATGCATAGCTCACTAAGCATCGCTTTTTTTTGGCATGCAATGGAAGAATAAGCGGTCCTCTACAGCTCTGGGCCCTGAGGCGTTTTGAACTGGGCATTGACCATTCGCCCACTCTTTTCTCTGGAGCTGGTGAAGCTCACCGTGGATGAACGTCAGTGCCTCCACCCTCAGCCCCTCTGCCCTCCCTTGGGACAGGGTCTTCCTCCCACAATCCAAAAGCATTTCCAAAGCCCTGAGGCCATGTCCAACCTGTTAGCATTTCTCTATAGTATTTTGCTTGCACAGGCTGGAAATGCGTCCTTGCAATACTTGATCTTTTGCTAATTAATGTTCTAGTTTAAAACACGTGCCAATTTTGATAAGCTTTGAGTTTATATGGTTTTGTACCACTTATAGCAAAAGATTCAATTTAATAACACATCTTAATCAATCAATCAATCAATCAATCAATCAATCAATAAAAATTCAAGGCAATTTTTTAAATACTACATTTAAATATAATAATAATAATTATTATTATTATTATTATTATTATAGAATAAAAAAATAATTTAAGTTTTAAATAAATAAAGTAAGTCAAGTCATTGCCTCATATTGTAATTACAATCTTAAAAAAAAAAGATATGTAAAGCATGTCAGAATTTTATCTTTGGGTGATGTATTCTTTAAATCTTCTTTAAATGTTGGTGTTATTAAACTTTTTTGTATGGGAAGTGCAAGTCTGTGTTTATGGCTAGGTTTTCCTGTTGATCCAAGATGAGAGATTAGATTAATTCTGTCACTGTTGTATTGCATTGACTCTAGCAGTCGAGTTGGTTTTATGCAATCTAAGCTGACATTAGTACTGATCATAAATCTGTGTTTTATCATCACTGCAGTGAAGTGCTAGGCCTGGGATTCACTCTGCCGCTGATCTGAGAGCAGCGTTTGGGGCTCACCGGCCTGCTCCAGGGCCACCATGGTGGATTGCTCAATGAGGTCACGCTCAATGAAGCTGCGGAAGTCCTCGCTGTACACACTCAGGTCGGGCAGCTGGAATGTGTAGATGGGCATCTCCAGGGGGAACTGCTCCCTGGCACAATCCCCTGACACCTGCAGCCGGGCCAGAGACATGATGGCAGAGCTGGCATGGGAAATGCCCCGGGACAGACGCTTCTCTGGAAGAAAGAGAGAGAGAGGAAAGAAAAAACGAATAATTATAAATATTTCAAACAAATGTACCTTCTTAATAAATGTTCCTCTGGTCTTTTAATGATTATGAATCATTACTGCACAATAAGACAATCAATCAATGAATCAATCAATCAATCAATCAATTTTTGTTTTTTAAACAAGAAAATATGCTAATTATTAAAAACATTTTCCTAATTTTAAAAAAAAACAATTATTAAATTTTGGTAAATGTTATAACTTTCTCAACCTTTACTTCTTTTGCTTCTGATACAACAAAGTCCACGTGGGCAGGGAAAAATAATTTCAACCAATAATATTTTTTTCAGGAGTACCTTTCAGGATCCAACCAAATCCAAGCAAAATTAAATCCAGCTAGGCCTGGGCGATAAAATGGTATCAATATTTATCGACGGTACACCTTCGATAACGATATAAAATTTTTTTGATATAGTGCACGATATAGGCACATGAACACATGCTGAATTGAGTGCTATGCCTGCCTCTGATGAGGAGATTGTGAATAAAAAAATTAATATTAGTTGAATTTAAAATAAACATTTGCATTTGAATGTTAGCCATAGATATATATATATATATATATATATATATACATATCTATGATCTACACTGGATGCGGCGCAGCACGACAAATCCCCGACAGAAAAATGCTGCAGCGTTCTATTCATGACGTATTGTCACATATTTAAAATGATTTTCAACGGTCACTTTTGCTGCGTTATGCATTCAAAATATTAGAGAAATATAGAAGCTCAATGCGGAGAACATCTTAGGTGAAAATTGAAACCAAGTCATTCACATAGACGCATTTATGCTTATTCACACAGACGAATATCCTTATTCAGCGCATTTTTAGACGGAAAAATATGACTGCTCGCGTCTTACACAAGAGATGTAGCCATGCAAAGTTAAAACAGTTTAAACTTTTAGAAAACACGTCACGAATTTGTGGAGGTTTATTCCTTTTCACTGCGTCTCATATGTTTTTAAAGGCAATCTGTGTGATGGGCGATTCGGCTCTTTGTATTAAAGGTGGGGTAAGCGATTTCTGGTAGCCAATGTTGATATTTGAAATCACCAAAACAAACACGCCCCTACCCCAAAAGGGTC